TTCTTGAATGTTCTTCGTCACGGCACAGCCCCTCTGCAGGTAGGGATCGATAATTCCACAGTCGTTCGGGGCTTCAGGCGAGGCCCAGTTTGGTGCCGCCAAGCCAGGCGACCGCATGCCGATTTATGGCACATGATTTGGAATGCGATTGAGGATTCGTTCTCGGGGGAGGGGGGCCTCGTCGTCGTCAAGGTCAAAGCGCATTCCAAAAAGGCTCAGGCCCAGCAGCTCGAGGGACTCGAGCTGTGCAACTACCTAGGGAATCAATGCGCCGACCTTCAAGCGAAGGAGGGAGCCAAGCTAGACGCCATCCCGCCTCACACTCGTGACACGTGGGTGTCTAGGTTCAAGGAGGTGTGTGCTGTTCTCGGGCTCGTCGGTGACATGACTTGTAAGATAGGCACGTTTGACGACACCACAGGCCGTCTCCAGAATGCCCCCCAGCCCCCTGGCCCTCGGCCGCGCCGTTCGGTGCTGCCTCCTCCAGAGTCTCGGCACGTCCTGGAGTGGGATAGGGGGTCTTGGAGGTGTGCTTGTTGTGCTAGACGGGCCCACAGCTATAAGGCCAAGCTGGTGTTGTCTCGTAAGTTTTGCAGGAAGGGTTTCTCCTCCCACGGTAAGTGGAAGAAGATAGCGCGTGTCGACGGGGCTCCTTTGCAGGGGCCAAGGCGACACAAGCTGTCTCGAATAGGCCACTATACCTTCTGTCGAGAGTGCGGCGCCTTTTTGAGCGCCAGGGCTTGTGGGTTACTTGCTGGATGTCCTAAGGACCCGAAGGACCACAACGCCAAGACTCGACGAAATCGTTTGCTGGCAGGTAAGCATCCGTATAAGAATGAGAGACTGCCTGGAGAGGTGGTCGCGCTGTCAAGAACCCAGGAATTGGATTTTCTGGAGTCGATTGGGATTGCTGCCAGGGCCTCTGCCGCTGGAAGCGGCGTGGAGGCACTTTCTTCCTCCGCCGCCTCAGGCGGTGCGGAGGTCTAACCAGGTCTGTCGCAGGTGGACGCGAGGTGCTCGCCCACGCTGTGCTCGCGGGAACCTCCTCCTCCTCCTCCTCCTCCTCCTCCTCCTCCTCCTCCTCCTCCTCCTCCTCCTCCTCCTCCTGCTCCTCCTGCTCCCTCCTCCTCCTCCTGCTCCTCCTGCTGCTCCTCCTCCTCCTCCTCCTCCTCCTCCTCCTCCTCCTCCTCCTCCTCCTCCCCTCCTCCTACCCCTCCCCCTCCTCACTCCTTCCGCCTCCCTCCTTCCTCCTCCCTCCTCCCTCCTCCCTCCACCCTCGTCACTCCTTTCTCATCCCTCCTTGTCATCCTCTTCCTCCTCCTCCTCTTCCTCCTCCTCCTCCTCATCGATTCCTCCTCCCTCTAGATAATTTATCCTGCCGCACCCCTAGACAAGCTTTTAGGGCGGGCCGGGCGTTTCGCCTGAGACTTCCTCACCACTTATGACACTGCAGTTGAAAAAAATAGCACTAGCTTCAAAGATGGAGGGCGAATCGTTTTCAAAATGTGGCTCTTGTCTCGGCGCCGCGCACATTCGTTATCAAAAATACCAGAGCTTCACGGACTGAGGGCGGTTCCATTTCAAAATGTGGCCCTCGCCTCGGCGTCGCGCACATTCGCTTTCAACATTTGCAAGAGGTTCACGGATGGAGGGTGGGTCGTTTTCAAAATGTGGCTCTCGCCTCGGCGTCGCGCACATTCGATTTAAACAGATGCAAGCGTTTCACGGATGAAGGGCGGGTCGTTTTCAAAATGTGACTCTCGCCCTAGCGCCGCGCACATTCGTTTTCAAAATTTGTAGAAGCTTCACAGGTGGAGGGCGGGTCGTTTTCAATTCGTTTTCAACAATCGCAAGAGTTTCACGGACGGAGGGCGGGCCGATTTCAAAATGTGATTATCTCCTCAACGCCGCGAACATTCGTTCTCAAAACTTGCAAGGGTTGTCACGGATTGACGGCAGTTCCTTTCCAAAATGCGGCTGTCGCCTAAATGCCGCGCACATTCGTTTTCGTTTCGCGGGTTTCCATGATCAGCGTAACAGAAACTGTGTGATGGAAGGATTCAGAATTATGCGGGTGCAGCAGTTATGTTGATTCGCGGTGCTGAAGCCCAATCAATGTCGCTCCGGCAAGATTCTGGATCGTCAAGACGCAGCAGTCAGGTTTCTAAATTGCGCTGAAATCCCGAGAACAATGCTTTGGCATGCTTCAGGATCTTCCAACGGTTGTCTTCCGACGAGGCAGTTCCCCCAATGGAAATGAACCGCTGAGGGGCCTATGAAAAGGAAGCTTGGAGGGAGGGTTAATGCCAACATCGTTGATGACTCTTGGGTTTACAGTGGTCCTCCTCCTCCTCCTCATCCTCCGCTTCCACCTCCTCCTCCTCCTCCTCCTCCTCCTCCACCTGTTCCTGCTAGGACAAGACCGAAGCGCGAAACACGATCCATCAGAAAATAATGATATGATAAGAACATGCCCTCCCACTCGCTCTGCGCGCTCACCCTCCAGTACCTGCGCCGCCGTCGCGGCCAGACACGCGGCCCCAGAACGCCCCGGGCCTCGGCCGCAGTGGGCGCGCAGCCCAGCGCCAACAGATCAATGTCGGCTGCGGCGAACAGGACGATCCTCTCCAGCGCCGCCCTCCAGGTGGGCACCAAGGGCGGCGCTGCCCACTGGTCCCGGAGGCAGGCGCCGGCCTGCGCAGCCAAATGCTCGAGCGCCCTGTGCGTGCCGACGCCGAGCCGGCCGTACGTCTCGAACGCGACAGTGAGGACGCTGGCGCCATACCGGGCCCGCTTGTCAGTGGCCGCCGCTTCCACGGCCTCCCCGGGGTACGCGGCCGCGGTCCGGTATCGGGACGCGTGCGGGCAGCGGATAGATACATACACGTACACCGGTTGGACGGAACCCCGAAACGTGAACACGAGGTCCATGACGGCCTCACCCACCGCCCGGCCCCTGCCTCGAGGTCCGGGCCAGCTCTGGCACCGTGCACTCCATATCGACCTCCGCGCGGGACTCCCGGAGGAGGCGCGCGAGCGCCGCGGCCAAAGCGCGGTGCGGCCGCATGCGCGCGGGGCCATGCTTGCAGCCTGGGCCATGCCTGCTCCTGCTCCTGCCCGTCCCCCTCCTCCTCCGTCTACTCCTCCTCCTCCTCCTCGTCCTCCTCCTCCTCCTCCTCCTCCTCCTCCTCCGCCTCCTCCTCCTCTTCATTCCTCGCACTGTTCATCCGTCCTCCTCCTCCTCCTCCTCCTCGTCCTTTTCCTCCTCTTCGTGATCCTCCTCGTCCTGATCCTCCTCCTTTCCTTCCTCCTCCTCCTCCTCCTGCTTCTCCTCATCGTCCTCCTCATCCTCCTCCTCCGCCTCCGCCTACGCTTCCGCCTCCGCCTCCGCCCTCTTCCTCACGCCCTCCCTCCAGCCATCCCTTTGTCCCTTCGTCCGTCCCTCCCTCCCTCCCTCCCTCCCTCGTCCACCTCGATTTTCGAGGACCGGAGAATCTGGGGACGTCCTAAGCATTGTTTGGGGGCCTTTGGGAGCCTCAACGGGCGGCTGCGGACCTCAGCTAACCTCTGGAAACTTGCAGACCGCTGTGGACCTCTGGGGACCTCCAGGGCTCAAACGACTTCTTTAACCTCCCTCTTCCTGCTCCCCATCCTCCCTCCCCTCCTGCCCCTCCTGGCCGTAGTTCTGTTCCACCGAGCCCGCCGGGCACGCGATCATATTTGTCTACATTGTCCTCCTTGTCGTCCTCTTCCTCCTACAGCAACTTCACGGGTGGAGGGCGGGAGGTTTCTGAAATGCGGTTCTCGTCCTAGCGCCGCGCGCGTTCGCCTCAAAATTTACGACAACTTCACAGACGGAGGGCGGGGCGTTTTCAAAATATGGTTCTCGCCCCAGCGCCGCGCACGCTCGATTTAAAAAGTGTGCAACCGATTCGCAGACGGAGAGCGGGCGGTTTTCAGAATGTGGCCCTCGCTCTAGCCCCGCGCACGCTCGCTCTAAGTACTTGCAAGTGTTCCACGGATAGAGGGTTTTTTCAAGACGCGGTTCTTGCAATAGCGCCAATCACATTCGTCCAAACATGCGCGACAACTTGTAACAAGGATTCGTACAACGCGATTGAGGACCGTCGGGGCGCAATAGTTAGGTCGATTCACGGTGTTGAAGTCCCAAGAGTGGTGTCCTGGTACGTTCTAGGATAGTCAGGACGCAACAGTCACGTTGACCCGCGGCGTTCGAATCCCAAAGATGGTGTGTGGACACGGTTAATGATTCTCGGACCTTGGAAGGAGGGTGTATTGCAACATCGTTGCTACGACCGGGATGGGCACTAGCCCTCATCCTCGTGCTCCTCTTTCCCACTGTTTGCTTCCTCCCCCTCAGTCAGCATCCGCGTCTTCCTTCTGCCCCTTCTCCTTCTCCTCCTCCTTTGCCCGAATTCCAAGATCATGCTCTTGCTAAGGCTCCTTGTCCCCTCATCCCCCTAAACACAACCACCATTACCCTCGCCATAATCATGATGATGATCATCATCATCATCATCATCATCATCATCATCATCATCATCATCATCATCATCATCAACCGTCCCCATGTTGGCTCAAGATGGTGCGATTGCGGGAAGGGTGCGGTCCCCAGGGCTGGCTTTCGCCGACGTGCCACTTCTTGGGTCAGGAACCAAGCGCGACCTTTCGGAGCGGCCCCATGGGCCACAATCTTTCCTTCCCCCATGGTCCCTCGGACCCGGCCGAGCCAGCATTCGGGGCAGAGCGGCAGGGCGAGGCGGCAAGGGGCAGCAGCCAATGAGAGGCACGGCGGACGGCAGCCGCAGCTGGGACCGCCCGAAGTGCGGAGCCAAGAAGAACGGTGCATCCCGAAGCACGCTCAGAGAATGCGGATTCGATTGGTTGCAGAGGTCTAAGTGCCAGACGGCTGGCGGAGCGGAGTGTCAGCCTTGGACGAGGCACGGCGCGAACTCAGTCAGCCACGGCGTCGCGCCAAGAAGCTGGAGTCCGCCAAGGGCAAAGGCAAGAACGCCGCGGACCTTGACCACTGGAGCAGCGACCTGGGCACCGACGGCGGAAAGCAGGAGCAGGTCACACTGCCGGGCAAGCTGCGGTCGGAGATCAACAAGGTGGAGGGGGCGTCTGCCGTGGAGGGCACGCGCGAAACCGAGCTCGCAGAGGCGCGCGCCTTGGAAGCCCAGATCGCCCAAAATCGCCGACTCGAACGACGCCCGCGGACCTGGCGCCGTCGCGACCGAGGCGCTGGCAAAGCAGCTCGCCACGGTCGCCGCAGAGCTCGCAGAGCTCGAGCAGATGAGAGCGGAGCTGCAATCCAAGCGCGACGCCTCGCACGCCGCCGAGTCGGAGATCCAACAGCTGCTCGACTGACTCCTCGCAGCACGAGCCCGAGAAGAAACAGACGCACGGCGCGCCGACGAAGGTGGACCCGCGGCCGCTGCCCGCCCGGCAGCTGCGGCAGCTGCGGTGTCGGGGGCAGCGGCGGCCGAGCCCCTCGCCCCTGGGCACCGCGAGAAGCGGGGGAAGCAGGTCACCCCCATGCGCGCCATGGCACAGGAGTTCGCCAAGCATCGCGACGCAGGCGACGAGAGCGGCTCCGAGGCCAACTTCGACGAGCACGCCTTGGAGGCCCCGGTCGACACCACCATGGGCAAGGCCAACGCGGCGATGGGGACTGGCGCCGACGAACAAGCAGCACGGGGCGAGGCCAGGGGCGCTGGCGCCAGTGGCGCCACTGCTCGTCACCGTAACAAGCAGCGTCAGCTTCTGGAAGGGCTGCGCGGCATTGCGCGCGCCGAGCGAAAGGGGGGAAGCGCCCCTTGCACGTTCGCGGCGATCAGCCTCGACGGCAGCGGACGGGGGCCAGCCGCAGCCATGCTCGCGGCGCCACTGGAGGGCAGCGCCGACACGCGCGAGGCGCACGGCGGCGGCGCGCGCCCGCTGCAGCAGCGCCACCTGGGCCCCAGCCATGCGGCCGAACAGGAGCAGTGGCGCCGTCAGGTCCGGTTGCGCGCCGCCCTCGCCTCGGGCGCCCTTGCCTCCGACGTCGCGCAGAACCGCGCTGCCAGCGGCGGCGCAGGCGCGGCAGTCCAAGCTTGGAGAGGCATGCGAGGGCCAGGGGCCGACGGGCGAGGGTGTTGTACCGCCCCTGAGGCAGTCGAGCTACCTTGGTGCGCGTCGGCGGCCGCGTTCCAGGCGGCATCATCGTTTGCTCGGTGCATCTGGATAACGACGGCATGGGGCCCACCAGCTTGGGCGTGCTCCAGGAAGTCGGGAAGATGTTGAGGTGCGCTGGCAAACCCAGCACCCTGGGCGACGACTGAAACGTGGATCCCAATGCCTTCCTCATGGTCGCCAATCGCTGGCTCGAGGGGGTCAACGGCGCGCTGGTCGAGGCTGGCGATGGAACCTGTAAGTCCGCGACGGACACGGACGCCTCCGAGCTGGACTGGCCCACAATCGACACGGCGCTGGCGCGCCAATTGGAACGATGCGAGGTCACCGAGATGACCTAGCAAGGTCTGGCCAACCAGTGTAGGCAGCATATGGGAGACAAGCTGGCCATGAAGGACGCGCGGCCTTCCTCGCGCCAGCGCAGCGCACCACGGACGCGCTGAAGGACGCAGCATGGGACTCAGCGACCTCATCGGACGCTCTACATAGGGCCAGGGACCCGATGCTGGACCACGCGGCGCTGCCCATCGTCGCGTGGGCCACGGCGCCCCAGCGCGCCAGGGACGCCAGCGACGCCGGGGCCCCCAGCGATAGCTTCAGCAAGGCCTGCGAGCGCCTGCAGCATCGAAGCCCGGAATCCCCGGCAAGTGAGGGGCCAGAATATGCTCTGGCCCTCGCGCGCCACCGCTTGGGCTGGGCAGCGCGAGTTCCAGGCCAGTCCTTCGAAGAACTGGGCACGAGCGTCGACCTGCACAGGCTGGGCGCATCGACGCCCGCTATGCTGGCATCAGAATCTCACGAGCGCCCACTGTGGAGGGATGCGAGTTGGCACCCAGGCCTGGAGCACCTCAGCTCAGCGCGCAAGGGGGCACTGATCGGCATCAAGAAGGTACTGAACCGCAACCTCCAAATTGATGGCCCAGGAGGCCAGCTCCGCGACCAACGCCTGTCGGGCCGCCTGTGGCCTGCGGCGCGGCGAGCCAAGCTGGACAGGCCGCTCGCCGCGTCACCCACGTGCCCCAAGAGCGTTGGCGGGCCGGGCACTGCGCGGCACCTGGCTTGGCGGCGCGGGGCCACGGAGGGTGCCAGACAGGAATGAATAGCCAGGAACGACGCCGACGAGAGGAGGCCGCCCGACGACATACCGTTCAGCACGATCGTCGCCATTGCCAAGGGCAGCGCGGAGGAGGGCGCCCTCTGGTCTCGCGGATTGGCCCCCGCACGTCGGCGAGGCGCCGATCCGCCAGCCGCTGAACGCAACGCGCGCCGAATCGGCGCAAGTGGTGTGGTCGGGCGTCCGCTAACTGGTGACATCATCACAGATGGCAGCGTTGTGGAACCCAACACTTGGGCTGCGCGCGCGGGCTGGGGCGCCGTCGCGACGGCGCGAGACGGTGAACTGTTGGCGCAATTCGGCCCAGCCCCCTGGCCGTATCCGCAGGAGTCAGGGGCGGCCGAGCTCCTAGCATGTATCGAGGCGCTTCAAGCAAGCCTACATCCAGTGCGCGTCTACACAGACTGCGAGATGCTGGTGGACGGCTTCCGCGCAAGGCGCCAGCGGCGCCAGCGGCGGCGTCGGCCTCGCCCCGAGCTGCTGGCTCGCTTCTGGCACGCGATGGGCGACATCGGAATAAACAAAGCGCAGGTCCGCAAGATCATGGCGCACGCCGCGGGGGGCGACATTCAGGCAGGGCGCGTCGAGAGGTGGCAGAAGGCAGGCAACCACGCCGCCGACCGCAAGGCGCAAGACGGCGCCGCCATGCACCCACAGGATGAGGACCTTAGGCGACGCAGCAAGCGGCAGGACCGCCTGGTGAGGAAGACCACCCGCTGGACTGGCCGCGCCATGCAGACTGACCGCCACGAACCGACGGCCGAAAAAAACGAAGGCGACGCAAACCTCGAGTCGGTGCGTTGCTCGGCGCTGAATTAAAAGATTTGCCATCGAGCGTCGTGCATTCGAAACGGAGGTAACCGAACCGTCTTCGGAAAGCATGGCATTGGATCCATATTCACGGGGGGCTGGCCTGGTCGTGCGTCAGCCGCGCGGGCTGTGGGCGCTAAGTCGCAGGCCCCCCGCCAGCAGCAGGAGGCAGCGATGGCCAGCCCCTGTCAGCAGCAGCAGCACTTCTTGCAGCAGGAGCCGCACTCATGTCCAACCAGCGCGAACATCAGAACGGAGGGGGAGCTGGCGGCACTGCAGCAGCACCGAGCTCAAGCAGAAGCGGGCAGGACGCGCAGCATCGGATGGAGTTCCAGCCCCGGCAGCAGCCGGCGCCGCAGCTCCCGCCATGGCGGACCCTGGAGGTCCACGACTCACATCGCCTGTAGCAGACTGGGAATTTCTTGTTCTGTGTGGTCTGCGGGGCATGGGCACAAAGCGCGCGCATGGCAGGCCTCTGCAAACCTTGCCCTGAAGGACCTAGCGTGAGGCAGGCAGCAGTTCTCTCGCGCCTGAAGAGAGGCCTGGCTCCAGCTGGTTCAGGCACCTTAGGCACCCCGCAGCCGCTCATTCGCAACGACCGCTCTAGGAGCCCACTGCGAAGGCCGGGGAGCCAGGGTGGTTAGACCGTTCCCTCGCCTCTGTCTGCTCGCGACCCTCCTTTACAGGGTCAGCCCGCACAACAGCGGGGGGCGATCCGTTGGATTAGCGCGTACACTCCTGGTGTTTCCGAAGGGGGCTGAGGGGCACAGACTGTCTCGTCGGCCAGATACCTGTAAGGTGGTGTGGAGCACGCTTCGCCGACCGGTAGTGTAGTTGCCAGGCGCCCTTCGGTGCGACTGGCAGGAAAGCCAGCTTAGGCGCAGTCTCGCTGCCCTGCACGCGGCCCTGTTACAAAGCCAGCGCGCACGGTTGTGATGCGACCCGTGGGAATTGCTCTCCGCGGCTCTGTTCCTAGGGAGGATCGGGGTTCACAGACCGTCTGAGAGGCCAGGAGCCTGGAAGGTGGTGCACTCTGAGCTCGACGCTTGCCGCTTCTGCTTCACCGCTCGAGACCCTGCCTCGAGTGCGGAGGCCGAACCAGAGGGATAGCTCGTACACCCCGAGGCACTGTCTCCAGGGGGGCTTGGAGTGCACAGACCGTCTCCATTCCGAGAGGGTGGTGATGGCCAGGCCGCCCTCTTAATGTAGCGTCGCCGCCAGCTGGTGCGTCCCTCCGCCTGCTAGCCCTGTGCTCAGCCGATAGGTGGAGCTGGGCCCGATGGAGTAACTCGTACACTCCATGGTTCTACCTCCGGGGGGAACAGGGGTGCACAGACCGTCGTGAGGCCAGGAGCCTGAAGGTGGTGCACGCCTGGTCGCCCGCACTCCGCTGCGCATGCGCTGTGCGGAGTTCGATGCGCATTGTCGAGGCCTCACGCTCTGGCATGCTGCGGCGGTTGGCCTCAGCTGATATGTCCGAGATGCAGGCTTGCCGAGCGCTGTTGCTGGCCAGCTGTCAAGGCTTGTCTCCAGACTGTCTTCACTGTGATGCATCATCATCACAACCAGAATCATAATCATCATCAGCAGCATCATCACCATCATCATCACCATCATCGACACCACCACCACAGCCACCACCATCATCAGCAGCATCATCATCAGCATCATCATCAGCATCATCAGCATCAGCACCAGCATCATCATCCTTATCATCATGCTCATCATCGTCATAATCATCATCAGCATCATCATCATCATCACCATCATCATCATCATCATCATCATCATCGTCATCATCATCATCATCATCATCATCATCGTCATGACCACCACCATCATCATCATCATGATACCAAAGACAAACCCATTCACAATATCTTCAGGACTAATGGGGCTAGAGGGCTATAGGGCTGTAGGGCTACTAGGGCTACAGGGCTATGGGGCGATAGGGCGATGGGGCTATAGGGCTGTAGGGCTATAGAGCTATATGGCTATAAGGCTATGGGTCTATAGGGCTATAGGGCTATTGGGCTATGGGGCTGGAGGGCTATAGGGCTGTAGGGCTAATAGGGTTATAGGGCTATAGGGCTACAGGGCTATTGGGCTATAGGGCTACAGGGCTATAGGGCTATTAGGGCTATAGGGATATAGGGCTATAGGGCTGTAGGGCTATACGGCTATAGGGCTATAGGGCTATAGGGCAATAAGGCTATAGGGCTATAGGGTATAGGGCTGTAGGGTTATAAGGCTGCAAGGCTATTAGCTCTTGGGCTATATAGGGCAATAGGGATATAAGGCTGTAAAGATATAAGGCTACTGGGCACCCGGGCACCCGGACATCTGGGCACCTAGGCACCAGGGCACCTGGGCACCTGGGCACCTCCGGGCACCCGGGCACCCCCGGGCACCCCCAGGCACCCCCGGGCATCCCCTGGCACCCGGGCTGGCCACCGAAATCGGCGACGTAGATCACCTACACATATGAACCCGCTAGGTCCCCTATAGAGGCAAGCTCTGACTAGGGAATCATCAGCATCACCACCACCACCATCATCATCAGCATCCTCATCAGTATCACCATGTGTGCTTCATCATCGTTGTCAGCAGCATCATCAGCATCAGCATCATCATCAGCATCAGCATGATCACCATCATCATCATCATCATCATCATCATCATCATCATCATCATCATCATCATCATCATCAGCTTCATCGTCATCAGCACCACCATCATCACCATCATCATCAGAATCATGATCGTCGTCATCATCGTCATCATCATGGTATCAGAGAGAACAGTTCATAATCTGCTTAGGACTATAAGACGATGGGGCTATAGGGCTACAGGGCTACTCAGGGCTACTAAGTCTGTAGGGCTATAGGGCTGTAGGGAGATGGGGCTATAGGGCCATGGGGCTATAGGGCTAAAGGCTATAGGGCTATAGGGTTATAAGGCTATAGGGCTATAGGGCTATAGGGCTATAAGGCTACAAGGCTATAGGGCTATTGGGCTATAGGGCTGTTGGGCTGTAGGGTTATTGGGCTGTAGGGCTATCAGGGCTATGAGGCTGTTGTGCTATAGGGTTATAGGGCTACAGGGCTATAGGGCTATAAGGCTATAATTATATAGGACTATAGGGCATAGGTCTATTAGGGCTACGGGACTATAGGGCTATAGGGCTATGGGGCTTTTGGGCTACGGGGCTCTTGGGCTATAGAGCAACAGGGCTATAAGGCTGTAGGGCTATAGGGCTACAAAACTACCAGGCCCCGGGCACCCCCGGGCACCCGGGCGTGCCACTAAAATCGGCGACGTAGGTCACCTACACATTTGAATCCGCTAGGACCCCCTACAGAGGCAAGCTCTGATTGGGGAATCATAATGCAAGTCATCACCATCAAAAACATCATCACCATCAATATCATCCTCGCAAAAATCATCAACATCATCAGCATCACCATCATGAGCATTATCAACATGATCATCATTGTATGCATTGAAATCGTCGTCATCATCATCATTCCACGCATCATCACCGTCAGTCACCATCCACTTCATCATCAGCATCGTCATCGTCATCGTCATCAGCATCAGAATCATCATCACCATCATCCTCACCCGCATCAGCATACCTCCCCGACATCATCATCACCATAACCGGCACATCATCAGCACTATCATACCCATCACCATCCATCACCATCACCATCACCATCACCACTACCATCACCATCACCATCACCATCATCATGATCATGATCATGATCATCATCATCATCATCAGCATCATCATCAGCATCAGCATCAGCATCAGCATCAGCATCCTCATCATCATCGTCAGATTCATCCCCATCATCAGCACATGCCAGCTGGGAAGCTCCCGAGCCACGATGCATTCGCGTGGTGCAGCGAACTATCCTGGTGACGCCGCCCCACCACCCATGCCTCCCACGGGACATGTCCTCCGACACTGCCCGAGGAATTCGGGATACAGCTCATCAGACAGGGCAGCCAGCACTGGGCCAAAGACCTTCACCCTTTGTGCCATGGGCGTTCAGGCGGCCCGGCCAGTTTCAAATCAAATCTCCCCATCTTCCTCCATGTTGAACAACCCTGGCGCGAACAACGCTGGGCCAACATTCTCAGAGCAGCGGCCTGGTCACAGGCAAGGGTGCAACGTGTGGCATCAGTTCGTATTGCTGTATTAGTGGTTGTGAGACCTGGGAAGGAGATTGTGCAAACACGACAGGGCATCATCCAATGCAACGGTTTCTGCCTGTCCCTCTCCTGCCCCATCTGCTCACACTCCCGCGTCGTTGCCCTCCCCCATGCCCATCCATGACCAGGACATGACCCCAGCCCTGCCTGCTCTCACACCCTCCCTGCGCTCCCTGAGGAGGGGGAGGAAAGCATCTCCCGCGCGCACCTGCGGGAATACCCAGCCTGTCAGGGCCGACATAGCCTCACAGCGCCCGCGCGCGCGCGGGCGGGCTCCTCGTCCCTACCATTGCCATCGTCCATCGCTGTCGTGCTCCCCCAGCGCGGTCCGACAGCCACCCGACGCAAATGAGGAGGTGGAGGAGGATCAACTCGCTCGCACTCGCCCATTCGGCCCATTGGGCCCAAATCCCCCCTCGCACGTTCGTCGTGAGCATGGAGGGGAACGTCCTGCGCGATGTCGCGCTTTGCTGGAGGAGGCAGGGAGGGAGGGAGGGAGGACGAGGAGGAGCCACTCCCAGGAAGCCAGAAATCGACCGCCGCCATGCGGCTCCAAGAAACTCTGCCACGCGTGCGCAGACGCGCGGCCGCACGGCACGCGCCCGCGCTGACACAGCAAGCGGCGCACGCCAAGTGCACGCCCCCCCGACGGCGCGCCAAGGTCGCTCCACCTCGCCCTTCGCCATCGCTCGGACGTCCATTCCCCGTGCATGTTTCGGCCTTGTGCCTGTCTTCCCAAAGATGATCCCAAATGCTCCACGATGAAAAGAGGCAAAACAGCATAAACAGAAACTGTTGGAGCTCCGCTCAGACTTCTTGGATCTTCCTGACGCACGGAGCGCGCCAGGGGAGAAACCAGAAGCGCCACACCAGGATTACAGCGCAGATGATGAGAAATCAGGTGAACGGTTTCCTATTCGGCGTTTCGACATTGAGCGGAAGGGAGGGGGAGGGGGGGGGTCTGGCTCCGGACCTCTGCTCAATGCGACTGTTTGCAACAGTGCGTCCGATGGGGAAGACCACACCTGCTTGAAACAGGCGCCAAACACAGCCAAGATCTACTCCAGTGGGGGGGCGGGGTAGAGGGGATGCGAGGGGCCGCGCCGATCGGCACAACAACGAATGAGAAAACAATCCCCAGCGAGGACATCCAGAGATTCGTGTTTGTGCTGCTTTCCCTCCGATCGCTGGCCCCCACCGAGGGAACATGCACGCGTCCGAGCGATGGAGGAGGAGGAGGAGGAGGAGGAGGAGGAGAAGGTCCCATCACTGGCCGAAGGTCCTCTCGAAGGCGCAAAGATTCGAAGGACCAAACACGGCAACAGCATAATTTCTCGGAGGTCCTCGCGGAGCTCCGAAGCATGATGTGTATGCCGCTTTTGTTCCTCTGCAGATTGTGGCGTGATAGCCGGACCCTAGCCAAAGAAACACGACTGCCCATGTTGGACACAAACTGGGAAAATCCATGTCGCTGCATAGTGAATATGGCCCATGTCTACATCGCAAGGCGGAGAGGGAGAGGAGTGGGAATGAATGAGCATACCGCATGCCACTCCTTGACAAAAACTTTGCCCCGATGTGTGGCCGCCGCGACCGCAGCGGCGAACTCCAAAACCGACCTGGCGGTTTGGCTCGAGTCGGAAATCACGCAACGAACAGATCCACCTGTTTTCACCTCTTGTGAATTTGTGCCTGCCGATTGGCCGTGCGACGCACCTTGCGCCAGCCACTGTTGCCCTCTGGCTGATCTCTCGCTTCGACGGTGGTCTTGGCTGGCACGAGATGGCCTGATCCATTGCCACCCTTCGCTGCCTCCTCGCAGCCCCTCACTGGCCGAAGCTCGTCTCGAAGGCGCCCCGATCCACCTTGCTTCCACCTCTTGTGAGATTTTGAGGGCGGCTCCTTCTCAGGATGGGGCTCTCGTTTGAGACTTCCTCGACGCGCATGGCCAGAAGTGTAAAATGTGTGCAAGAGTTACACAGACACAACTGCTTGAACTGTATGACGATGACTTCACGCATTCCCTATTGCTCGCTGGAAAGATGGAAAGATGCAAATCCATCAGCTCCTTTTCAAAACAGGACTCTCGCCTGAATGGCAAGCCCACAAGGTGCTGGTCTTTCATGTGGTCGTTTCTCGAAGTGAAAAAAGGAAGACATGTAGAGACTTCTGAGGAGTAGATTTGGGACGAGAAGGCTGATAGCAGCATTGCTGATCCATCTTAGGTTAATTCTGGTCCTCCTCCTCCTCCTCCTCCTCCTCCTCCGCCTCCCAGGCGGGCAAGGTGACAATCTCCATGGGGCCTCCAGGAAACTCCGAAGTATTGCTTGCAACCAAAGAACGTGTATAAACCTCGACCCTCGATCCTCGAACCTCGATCGCCGCTCGATAGTCGCAGGAGGTTTGCGTCGGGGACGGAACAACAATCAGACCCGCGCTGGGCTGCGAGGGAGCTCCTGGAATGCCACCAGTGCCTGCCGAGCACTGACCAGACCAATCAGCCATGGAGCTTCAACCCGAAGGCCAATGAGTCGGGCCAGTGCTCGGGCATCCTGAGCATCACCTTGACTGCCTGGGGGATCGAAAACACCACCGGTGACACGCCGCCGATGGGCGCCCACCAGCGTGCCACTGCTGCAGAAGCCGCAAGGCCTCCGGACCGAAGCGAAGGAGGCACGAGCCGAAGGCACGGGCTCCCGACGGCGGCGCATCGTTGGTGCGGTGGCCCCTCCCGATGGACAGAACTCGGCCGACCCGAACGCGGTCGAGAACCGCGCCGCCCCCCCCTCGGCCACGCGCAGAGGGCGATAAGGGGGGAGGGCGCAAGGCCCCTTAGAGGCACGAGTGCTCTTCAGAGGGCGCGGGCCCTGTCTGCAGATGTCAGGGCCAGCGCCTTCTGAGAAGCAGCCTCCTTCCAAAGAGCACTGCACCCTCCCCCTACCTCCTTGTTGAAGGGGCCCTGGGACACACAAATAAATACACACAAATAACAGGATTCCCCATATTTTCTATATTTTTTTGTGATTTTTGTTTCTCCCCCCCACTTCCCATATTTGCCCATATTTTCTGGGGAATCGACGATAAATTGTGTCTGTGTTTTTTCCCCTCCTGACTTGTGCGCGCCGTCTGCCCCCCACCCACCCACCCCGCCGCCTCTGCGACCGCAGAGCACACCGCGGGGCTCTCCTGGCCGCCTCGGCCGGCGGGGAGCCAGGGACTCGACGTCCTCCTCGTCGTCGTCGCCGCCCAGCTCCTGCTCGCTATCCTCGGCCTCGCCCTCGTCCTCGTCATCGCTGTTGCCCTCGTCCTCGTCGTCGTCGCCGATTGTCGTCGTCGTCCTTCTCGTGGACGCCCTCGTCGTCGTCCTTCTCATCGTTTCCCTCATCGCCTCTGTGCAGATTCTCCTTCTGATGTGTAAAACAATTCGATTTCTTGACTTGATAAACTTTTCCTGATATGGATTCCCTGGGGATAATGATGTTTGGGGTCCAGAAGGGGCAATAAACGTTTCCCCAAATTCTCAGCATCATGATGAAGATGATGAAGAGGATGACGATGAAGAAGGTCTTGGGCGTTCATGCGTCGGGATTATTTTCGGAAGCCCATCGGGTTCCTTCGGGAATCCTTCGTATTTCTTCAAGACAACCCATCGGATTCCTTTGGACATCTATGTCCCTTAGAAAAAATAAAACCCGATGGAAACCCATGGAGATCCAATATCCATAGGAATAGGCGGAGGAGGAGGAGGAGGAACAGGAATCCCAAGACCAATGTTCTAAAACAGCTGCGATTCGGGACTTCAGGTTTCTTGGTTCCTTAGCAATTTATAGCGGCCCGTTTGCATGTGCGTATGCGTAGATATATATATATATATAGAGAGAGAGAGAGAGAGAGAGAGAGAGACGTAAAACACTGTTTCACAGAAACGGAGCCGGAGCGCAAAGAGGAGGAGTAAGAAGATTCCTCCGGAAATCCATACGATGCCTTAGGAAATCCAATAGATCCCTAAGGAAATCTATAATATGCCTGAAGACAGCCAGCAATAGGACTCCTGAGGCACCCATAGGATGCCGAAGAAAATCCATGGGATTCCTTAGGAAATCGAGGGGATTAGGACATCTTTCGGAATCCGTCAGGCATCAAACGAATTCCTTCGGGAATCCATCAGATTCCTTTTGGAAATATATAGGATGCTCCGGGGAATGCGCAGCATTCTGGATACCATAAGATTACTTAGGAAATCCACGGGACCCTGGAAAATATCCGCAATATTCTTCTGGACAGAATAAGATAACTCATGAAATATACCAGAGTCCTTTTGGAGATCTATTGGATTCCTTGGGGCGTCCACCGGATTCCTTCGGAAATCAATCGGCAAGTTTAAGAATAATGCCAAAACTTGATGCGTTCCAGGCCCAGTGTCTGCGCAAAATACAAAAGATCCCTCATTCCATGATCTCCCACGTGTCCAACCACAGCGTGCGGCAACAAGCCGGGCAGCACCGTCTTAGCAGCCACATTCTCATGAAACAGTTCGATCTGTTCGGGAAGCTTGGCAGCATGCCGGACTCAGCAGCTCGTGATGTAGTGTTCGCACCCGGGAGCGTGAACCCGCCGATCCTACACGGAAGAAGAGCACGAGGCCGCCCCAGATTGACATGGGCTCGCGTAATGCATGAGCACGCGTCGCTAGCATGCTCGGCTTCTGGCACATTTGTGCGCGCCGAGCTCGGGCCGAACTATAGCAGGGCTCGGTGGAGAAGCGTTGCCCAGGCGTATGTTTTTGGAGAGGCTGTGCGTTAGAACTGTTGTAATTAGCCTTGTGCTGTTTAGCCGATGCGCCGTGCGGCGCGGCTCCACTGACTGACTGACTGTTACTCAACAGAAGAAGAGAGCAACTCCGACTCGCCACTGCCGCCCGCAATTTCACCAGCCCTCTGGGCGCAGGTGGTCTACAGCGTTTTTCGTCCCAACCATCCTGTGGTGTTGGGTCCTCGTTTTGAAGAGACGGTGCCCCGCGTTCTCCTTCCTTCCTTCCTTCCTTCCTTCCTCCCGCTGCCTCCTCCCCCCTCCCATCATCATCATCATCAACACCCATTCGGCACACCCCTCACACGTTTCGTGGCTCCATAGGGAGCTCCACCGAAGGCCCCAGTGCCCGCGGCCGCATGCGTCACCCACACCCATTTCGGCACACCCCTCACACGTTTCGTGGCTCCATAGGGAGCTCCACCGAAGGCCCCAGTGCCCGCGGCCGCATGCGTCCCCCACACCCATTTCGGCACACCCCTCACACGTTTCGTGGCTCCATAGGGAGCTCCACCGAAGGCCCCAGTGCCCGCGGCCGCATGCGTCACCCACACCCATTTCGGCACACCCCTCACACGTTTCGTGGCTCCATAGGGAGCTCCACCGAAGGCCCCAGTGCCCGCGGCCGCATGCGTCACCCACACCCATTTCGGCACACCCCTCACACGTTTCGTGGCTCCATAGGGAGCTCCACCGAAGGCCCCAGTGCCGCCGCCCGCATGCGTCACCCCCACCCATTTCGGCACACCCCCCGCATTTCTCGCACGGCAGGGTCATCACCACGGTGGCGTGCCAGGGGCGCACCATGCGCGAAGGCGACGGGGCGGGGGAACGGCGCTCCGGGGGCGGCCAGACCTCCGGGCGCGAGCAGTCCGCGGCCAGACCATCTCTCGGTCCTGTGGACTCTCGCCCTGGGCCGTCGGCTGCCCGGCGCGCTGCTCCCTCGGTCGACGTCGCCCAGGCGTGATCCTGGATTGCGGCCGCCACGAGGTAGGGAACGGCAAGAAGGAGGACGACGACTGGTGGCTGGAGCTCTACGTGCTGCTCTCGCGCGCCACGCGCCACGAGGACCTCCTGCTCATGCGGGCGCCGCGCATCGAGTTCTTCCTGGCAGGGCCGCCGCAGGGCTTGCGGAAGCAGCTGGAGCAGTTTGCGGCGCGCACGAAGCGGTGCAGGAGGGAAGCGACGGCCCTCGCCAGGGAGCTCGGCTTCACCGAGTTCATCCGCGAGGCCTGACCTGAGGAGCGTCTCCCCCGAGCCGCGCCTTCTCTCGACTGCCCGACTAATTGTTTGGCCTCGCGCCGCGGACGACCCGCGCGCGTCGCTGGGACCCTCTCGGGGCGACCAGCGCGCGTCGCGGGAACTCCGTGCTGCGGGGGGCCCGGCGCCTCGTTCGCCCGTCGTCGCTCTGCCCAGCGGTCAGAGACTTGCCCGCTATCAGCCAGCCAGTTAGCTAGTCAGCTCTCTCTGCTTCGCGCAGCGGACGACCCGCGCGCGTCGCTGGGACCCCGCCCGGGGCGACCAGCGCGCGTCGCGGGGACTCCGCGCTGCGCTGCGCCCGCAGCCTTGGATTTTGGAGTGCGCGGGCAAAGAGGAAGGAAAAGAAGAGCCGAAAGCGGGCGCGATCCTCGCAAGAGGCGTGCCGACATGGGCGTCGCGACGTGCGGACGCTGCCGTCGGGGTTCCCGCGGAAGCTGCCTGCGGCGGCCACGCCCAGTGTCACGTGTGTTCGGACAGGCATGCTCGACACTTACACTAGGCGTTTCCATGATCGCACTCATGCAAATATATTCACTCGCGCGCAGACCCATTCATACTCAGATTCCCTCGCGCTCTGACTCACCCGCGTTCTTTCTCTCGTAATCAGATCTATCGTATTCCTTTGCGTTGTGTACCCCGCCACATTTCGGCACACCCCTCATGCGGTTCGTGGCCCCATAGGGAGCGCCACCGAAGAAGATACTCACAATTGCGATACTCACAACTGCATATGGTTGGGTCCTTCGCCAGGATAAATTCAACCTCCTGCCTTTCCCTGCTCGGGAGGTTCACCCCCCCCCCCCCTCCCTGCGCCTGGACGGGCTCCCCCGCGATGTGGCACGGGGTCCTTTTTAGGCCAAGATGGTTCCAAAAAGGCTTCAGAGAGCGCAAGATGGCCTCCAAGATGGTCGAAGATAGCGGTAGATGGGTCAAGATAGCCTCCGACACACGTCCAAGAGGCCCCAAGACGGCCCCAGACGGTCCCACGCGCCCTCCGAAGCCTGCAATGAAACCCCCAAGAGGCCAAAATCATTCAAACACCTGAGGCAAATCAATGTACTGTGTCTTCTCGCTTTCTCGCCTCCGATGGGCTCTGAAGGCATCAATATGGCCCCAAGACGGCCCAAGATCGCCCCAAGAGGGATCCAAGAGGGCCCCAAGACTGCCCCAAGAGCGCCCAAGAGTGCTCAAAGAGCGGCCCAAGAGGGCCCCAAGACGGCATTGTTGAGACCCCGAGGGGGCGATGGGAATTAAGACCCCCCTCGTTTTTAACGAAAGGGTCCAAGACGAAGAGGCCCCTCAGGCATCCCAAAAGAGCCCCAAGAAAGCCCCCAGACCCCCAAAAGAACCCAAAGGGGCCCCAAGGCACCCAAAAAGAGCCCAAAGAGAGCTCCAATTAGGCCCTAATGGGACCTCAAGAGAGCCCCAAGAAAGAGCTCCAGGAGGGCCTTTCCTTTCTTTCTAGCTCATGGGGGCAAGATCCGAAGGAGAGTACACGCACCGCGGCATCGCAACGACTTGCGAAGCACTCTTAGCTGCCCACGGGGCTGTTCCCTGAGGAGGCTGAACCTACGATGCCGACGTAAACTGCGAAAATGTTACGATCAACTCTCGGCCACAAGCCGCGCGGACCCTGCCAGCAACAGCCCGATGCACACAGCACCCAGAAGGCCAGGCTGGCCTCCGGCACGCGGACCCTTGCCTTTGCTGGGACCTTTACCTCTCGAGCGACCTACTTTCCCCTTGCCCGCCCCCCCCCCCTCGCGGTCCCCTCTGAATATTTACGGTTGGAGGACCATCCAAAAAAATGGGGGGCCAGGGGCAACCTGCCGGGCATTCTGACTGGGCGAGGGCAGAGGAGCGGAGGAGGAGGAAGCAGCAAGTGGAAGGACAAAACCTCTTGCCATCAGCACAGCCAGGCGAGAGCTCGCCTGTATATAACTCGTGAGCCGAACCACTTCTTGCCGCGCTCGTCCACGCATTTGCTCAGGAGCCGCTCCAGAGGGCCACGTGGTGGAGCGCCCACCAACCTGTTGCCCCCCTCGACCTCTGCGAGCTTGATCAGCCACTGCTGCACTATGTTGCCGTGCTTGTGGCGGGAATCCACGCACCACATCAATGTGCA